AGTAATGCATATTTTTAGCATTTTCTACGGGGAATCTAACGGGGCACATTTCAGCTCTGCGAGTTCATCTGGAAATGCAAAAACATCTGATCTTTTCACAGGGTCATGACGAGGAGGCATTTTCACAGCCACATCACGGCGGAAGCGCTCGTCTACAAGCAAGTATGTCATATTATTCCTACACACACGCAAGCTTACTCTACAACATTGAAGAGATTTCCCCGCTACCTTTTCAGATTTCGGAAAAACCTTCGCTCAAACATTGGAAAATTTCACCAGATAGGCTAACTGTCCAGCCGAGAATTGATCTATGATTTCCATTTGAACACGAGAGGAGGAGATGTTGAGCGCAGGGACTACGTGTTAAGTCATTTAACGCGCCACATGGAATAGGGACCATGAAATCTGGAAAAAAGCAATCGATCCATTCACAATACAATGGACGATGTTGAATACGCGGCGCGTTCTGGGGCAACTGCTGAGACCCATCTCTCTGAAGAACGATCATGATGCATAAGCGGGATTATATGCGCACCACATTCAAACAATTTTTTCTCGAGCCAAAGCTCGAGTGCATGGCGCAATCTGAAGTAGGGCTTTCCAAAAGTTTAAAAGCACATTCTTATAGAACTCGACGAGCTGAGTTCAATGCTTTTTTCAGATTTCGAAAATCTTAATTTCTGAAGCGAGTTATAACGAAAAAACGAAAAAAAACGCGAATTCGCGTTTTTCGCGTGTTTTTTTCGATTTTTTACGGCGAGTACCGTAGTTTTCCACATGGTTAGACTCGCCACAGAGAGACGAGTCCAATGGTGTAGAGCACCAATCATTTGACCCGCTTTGGGGGGAGTTATGAAGGGGCGACGCTTTGCGACGCTGCAAATCCGTCGCTCAGCGGAGAAATTTCAAAAGTTAGTGGCGGTATTGTACAGTAGTCCACGAATTTCACAGATGTGCCGTTGTGGCGGTTCGAAAGCGCGCGACGATGGCGCTAGCCACTTTCAGGCGACTGATATTACCATTTGGACGAGTTAAGTCGCGCCGCCCTTCTCTCTTTCAGGGAAAAGCTTTCTTTAGAGCTTCATCGACGGTTTTCTTTGCTTATTTTTTTCTTTCAGTCAACTTGGCATAAACAACTCCATTATCGGCCGTGTGACCCCAAAAGTTCCATCTGAGGGTGTTGCTTTAATGGATAATTTTCCAGCTGCCAATGCCCGAACGGCTACCGGGATTTGAATCCTTCTCATCCGGGACGACAGTGCCTCGCATACGTGGGTGTGAACGAATGCGAGAAACCAGAACTGAACGAATGTTCTCCGGATGCACGTTGCATCGATCTGGATTACCTTTACAAGTGAAGTCCTGCAAAGATTGCCTTCCCGGAATACTGTAACAGTGTCCACTTCACAGGTGTGAGTGTGTATCTCCGTATGTGAATGCGGCTCCCGAAGGAGCAGTACCCGGCTCCGTTTGTACCATCGACTACTGCTCTGATGTGCACTACTGTCCATTGAACTCGACCTGTAAAAATGTCGGCGACCAGGTAATTTTTGTAATTACACTGAAAAATTTGGGGTTTATAAACTGCTTAATTTCAGGCTAAATGCGACTGTAACGCTGGTTTTGTCGATCTACGCAAGTCGGATAGACTGTCAGAGGTGAGCCTTCGGTATTTTCAGCCCGGAAGGAGTAACTCTCATACCGAACCTAAAAGGAGTACGCGCGCTATTTCAGGCTGGCCTCGGTGATGCGATCTGCATGCGACACACGGATGTGAATGAGTGTCTCCTTGGACTGCATAATTGCAGTGCAGCAGCGATCTGTACAGACCTGAAGTACGGTTACGAATGCAAGTGTCCTGATGGGTAAGTTGGAGAGACCAATAGCAAGCTGCCATGGCAGAGACGCAGAGAGACAGAACTTTGTTGTACTGGGCGCTTCTAGGAGTAACAGTTTCACCGTTTCAGTAGCGATGGTCAATTAGAAGGAAAAACATTATAAACAAAAAAAATAAATACGCGTTCGTTCGCTCTTCTCACGACAAGCCCTGTGTCGGAACCAGGCCTTGTATGTGCAGCGTTGCTGTGCGGTCTGTGCAACGGCCACGGTGACTGTATTCACGACAGTGTCACCAACAACGTCACCTGTGCATGTGACGACGGCTATTCTGGACAGTTCGGCGAGGTAATCGATATTTCGATCGTATATGGTATTGGTCACATTATCGATCGACTCGTAAAAATTCGCAAAATAGGTGTTTGCAGCCGCCCAACAAAAAATGCTCGTGTCAGATAGAGAATTGCAGGAGAAACCGTCGAGTAACGACGGCATCGCCAGCAAGCAGTGTTTGAATGCATATGCTGCCGGAGGTTTCTCCTGCAGGTCTACCTGAGGATGTGCTTTGGAAGCTTAGGCAACCCTCTGGTACGGTAGCCTAGGAGGGCTGCAAATAACCATCCACCCAATTAATTTGCTCGCATTTATAATTATGATCCAGGACCCTGAATAAGTAGGCTAACCTAAGATGCTAGCCCCATTTTGCTCGGCGCACTGTGTGTTTCGGATGGTATAGCGTCTCTTTTTTCTAGCATCAGCCGGCATATAAAAGGGTGCTCGGAGTGCGAATTGCGGGGCGTGGTATCAGTGACCTTGTATGAAGTGAGACACTGGAGTACGATAATATATGACCTTCTCTGTTCATCCGTGACAAAAGCTCTCGTAATTGCGTGATGCTTCTGCATGTCAGATTTTTTGACGACTCTTAGCCTCCCACCCACAAGAGTTTCGCCGAAAACATATCATTTCGTTTTTTCATGTTCGGTAAAAGAAAACCTTTTACAAGAAATTTTCAGGAGTTTGATCGGAGGGCTCTTTAATGCCGTCATGACCTTTTTAAAATTTTATTGACATTGGCATTGAAAATTTTAAAAAATAGATGTGCTTTTGTAAATCCCAATGCAAAGCCGCGGCTTTTCCTCATGATTTCAATGTCCTTCAATGTGCAACGCGACCTCTTAGTTGTGAGTCGTTGTAGGACTTCAAAGCAGCGTTGGACAACCGTCATTCCAATTCGAGGAATTTGACCATTTGCCCAATCCCCCCTCCCCTCCACCTCTATCAGAAGGAACCTCGATACGACCCTATCACCACCGTCAGCCTCAGAGAGATTCCCAGCCCCTCCCGTAACCTCTTCTTTGAATTCCAAAAATGCGATCCTCTTTTCAACCTTTGGACCTTCGCCAACCCAAAATACGCCCCCTCTCCCCTTCAAAAATTGCGCAACAGTTGAGCGTGCTTTGAGTGAGGAATTGTGTTAATGATTTACCGATAATTTAAAGGACGAATTCACGATGAAAAAGCAACCCATTTCAAATTAACCAGGGATGGTGAGTGGTACACGAAAGAAGGAAGAACCATGAGAAACGGCCCAGAACCCGAGAAATGGGACCCCTTCCTTGCCCGTTGATTTGAGCATTGATGCGACTCTCATCGCTGTGCCCTCTTCAACACTACGCTCTCTCTGCTATCTAATCACTCCCACGTATAGACTGCGGCGAGTGATCAGATGGTCGGTGGGCGGAGATCGCCGACCCGCCAACTTTGAGGCATGATAGGTCGCCGAGGTCAAATTTTTCGATGCGAATTGCGCGTCAGTTCGCACCCTCAGGAGGTCCGTGGGTCCCTCAACTAGGTGAATTACTTCTTCCTTCGACCTTCATTCTAATCGTAAAATCCTCCTTTAAGGTGAGAAAAAATTGAAAAAGCTCTCCGAAGCAATTCGTAAGTTGATCGTAAGGGCAGAGACCGATGTGAATGTGATTTTATTCCAAGGCGCAGTAGCCCATACCTAGCCACGCACAGAACATTTCTCTAGGTCAATAGATCTTAATCCTCGCTCTTGTCCATGCAGCTGTCCAGCGTCTGCTTATTTATTTGTTTGCCGTACTCCATCACTAATGCTTTTACGTGAGAATGGAGTTAGAAATAGGAACACCTTTTGAAAAGCCATTGCAACCAATATTTCCCATTGCAGGCTGCTCCATCAAACGCAGGCCTCATTTTGATGACCATTCTGGCTCTACTGTTCCTCCTGCTCACGCTGCTTTGCTGTCTGTACCTCTGCGCACGATGCCGGTAAGATGCCTGACTGTCAGATTGTTGGAACAACCTAAACATTTTTGATTTTCAGTTGCTTCGGTGCAAGAGGCATCAGCGAAGGCAGTGCAAGCGGCCGAGAAATACTCGGTTCCGACTACTATACCATTCCTCGTGCTAAACTGAAGCCAGGCGCCCATGCGGTATGGTTTGCGACAATTTTCTCGCTAAACTGAAAAATATGGTGTTTATTCTCAGGATGAGATGATAGGCCATGACAATACTGCCGTTCTTGGCGCATATTGGACGATGGAGCTTCGGTCTCGTCGGACGGCTCTCTGGAAGAGATCGAACGAAGAGTCACCACAGATGTCACCACCCGCGAGATTCGTACTACGACCGTTCGCGATGAGATGGGCAACGTAGTCAGCCAAAGTCAGGTCAGTCAACTCCCAATGACCCGATAGCCATTACATGTCCTCATCGTGAAGCTCAGCCATTCCAGACGGTGTTGCACGGTCCGTTTGAGACGGACACCGAGCAGTACGCGGTGACATCGGCAGACCACTTCCGTCAGGCGTCATCGGCCAGCGCAGCTGCTGGAGCCACAGCGGCGTCTCTTCATGGCAGCTCCGGCCTCATCACTTCTGGAGTTCAAGGAGCTTCGATGGGTGGACATATGAGGACAGAAGGAGCGGTGAGTGAGCCCTAAAACAGCGCTCCTATCAGGTTTAGCCCTATGAACATGACAAAGCTAATTTTTCAGTACGATTCGGAGTCTGACGCGGATTCCGATGCCGGTCGTGCCACGTACGATCGAGTGACGCGAGTCGCCCAATCGCACGATTTCCTACCCGGCGCTGATCCACGAGTGGGAACCGAACGACGACGAAACGAAGTTGTCACCACCACCACTGCTGAAGAAGTCAACTACTTTTAAGCGGCCTCTATTACAGGCCTCCCTGGGTGCGCATTTGGAAAATGATTACGCATTACTGTTCGTTTTTAGTTGGCGCTGGTCATCCCTTTGAGAACAAAGACGCGCAAAAAAGAATCCCAGTTTACAGCTGAGCAGCCTTTTTGATCTAATCGAGGTTAAACGGACTGAACGCGATTGCTAGAGGGTGGAGCTGTTCCGATGAGGCGTTGGACATCATTGGTGCATAATTCTTGACAGCGCATTGATGGGTGTGGTTGAGACAACCTCCCAACGAGGTTTCACCAATCACGCTCGACGTCACCATCATCGCTCCGCCCCCTGCCATCGTGGTCACTGCCTTTAAGTGACAAGTTCGCGCCTCCATAAAACGATAGTAGCGCCACATAGCCCTTAGGGGGACGCACATTTATAACCGCAACCAGCAGAAATTCTTCCCGGTAATGGCGCTAAGGCCTGCTGCCGCGCTGCCAGCGTAATCCACCACGGCATACGTGGTCTCTGCGTCCTCTCGCGTACGACGTACTATCTCGCGTTCTCCCTCTCCTCGCAGCGCTGTGTCTCTCCGTCGTACTACGGCCGGCCTCCTAAGGGAAATTTAGTGTTTTCTATGGTGCTTTTTGCTTTTTCTCCTCACTAATGTTCCTCATTGCCTTGTTTTGTTTGTTAACTGCTGTTTTAACGCCGCAGTTCGCGTTGCGAATGTTTTGTCAATGTCAGGGGTTGCAAACGTTCCTCATTGCAACCCTTGCCTAATGTTTGAACAAAATAAAGCATCAATTCAATCCCGACTCGTGCCTTTAAGTCAGGAAGTGTACTTCTGGGTGAAACTCGTGTTCGTGGGGCCACGGCGCTGTT